GGCTTGGTTACTCAACGAGGGCCACCTTCGAGAATTCCTAAGTGATCTGGCTAAGAATCACTTCAGGGAGAGAGATGCAAGGAAAACGAACAAGAAGAACCACATGTAATCCACATGATCATTGGCGGAGTCGACGTCCTTTAACAACCTGTATTCAATCGCACCAAAGTGTCAATCACCAGAGAAAAACGAACTCGGAGCTATGTGCCCGAGGACATCTTATCATTCTGTGATGAGGAAGCAGAAGGCATATCTCAGCCTCACAATGACGCCCTGGTAATATCTATCCTTTTGAATAAAATTCAAGTTAAAAGTATTTTAGTGGATCCAGGTAGCTCAGCAAACATAATCAAATCGAGGGTCGTGACAACTCGGCCTACAAGATCAGATTGTACCTGCATCCCGGATCCTGAATGGCTTCAACATGGCAAGCGAAACAACAAAGGGAGAAATTGTCTTGCCAGTAAACGTAACCGGGACCATAGAAAATACAAAGTTCCATGTCAACGCACTCCTCGGGAGACCATGGATACACAACATGAGAGCAGTGCCCTCGACTCTTCACCAGATGATGAAGTTCCCAACAGAGGAAGGAGTAAAAACAGTCTACGGGGAGTAGCATGCAGCAAAAGAGATGTTTTCAATCGAAGAAGTGGTGCCGACTCCAGAGCCTTCGACCTCGGAGAAGTCAAACACTAAAGATAAGAAGACCGCCAAAAAGCAATTACCGCCTTCAGCCTCGATGGAGCCGGGGCACCAGGTAATCGAAAACGAAGATGAGGATTTTCTTACTCCTCGAACCTCGTCGTTCCCGAAGAATCCGATGCAACCAAATCAACTATCGAGGAGCTGGAGTAGGTCATTTTGATCGAGTACATGCCCGAGAAAAAGGTATACCTGGGAACGGGATTAACCCTCGAACATAGGAAAAACTCATTCAATTTCTTATTGATAATATGGATTGCTTTGCTTGGTCCCACTTGGATATGACAGGGATTCCACCGGAAATCACCACACACTGCCTAAGCACTGATCCAAGGTTCAAACCCGTGAAGCAAAAAAGGAGGCCTCAGTTCGAGGTAAAGCATGCCTTCATAAAGGACGAGGTAACTAAACTTCTGAAAATAGGGTCTATTCGGGAGGTAAAGTACCCCGGGTGGTTAGCCAACGTAGTTGTAGTTCCTAAAAAAGGAAATAAACTTAGAATGTGCGTAGATTATTAGGATTTGAACAAGGCATGTCCAAAAGATTCTTTTCCCTTGCCAAACATCGGTCGTATGATCGATGCCACAGCTGGCCACGAGATCCTAACCTTTCTCGATGCCTACTCCGGGTACAATCAGATTCAGATGAACCCGGAGGACCAGGAAAAGACTTCGTTTATTACTAAGTTTGGAACTTATTGTTACAACGTAATGCCCTTCGGGCTAAAAAATGCAGAAGCTACGTACCAATGCCTAGTTAACAAAATGTTCAAAGAACAAATAGGTAAGACAATGGAAGTTTATATTGATGATATGTTGGTTAAGTCGCTGCGCGCAGAAGACCATTTAGTTCATTTGCAAGAAACATTCGCAATTTTGAGGAAATACAACATGAAGCTTAACCCGGAGAAATGTGCCTTCGGAGTTGGTTCGGGCAAATTCCTTGGCTTCATGGTGTCAAATCGAGGTATCGAGATTAACCCCGATAAAATCAAGGCCATCGGAGATATCAAGGTAGTGGATAGCGTGAAAGTCGTGCAAAGGTTGACGAGTCGAATAGCTGCTTTGGGCCGGTTCATTTCAAGGTCATCAGATCGAAGTCACCGTTTCTTTTCCTTGCTCAAAAAGAAGAAGAATTTTGCATGGACCCAGGAATGCCAACAAGCCTTAGAAGAATTGAAGCGGTATTTGTCGAGCCCGACTTTGCTTCACACCCCGAAGATAGATGAAAGGCTTTATCTCTACTTGGTAGTGTCGGAGATAGCCGTAAGTGGGGTATTGGTTTGAAAAAAGCAAGGTACGCAATTTCCTATCTATTACGTGAGCCGTACTCTAGGAGACGCTGAAACTAGGTACCTTCACTTAGAAAAATTAGCACTTGCATTGATAAGCGCATCTCAAAAGTTAAAACCATTTTTTATTGTCATCCTATATGTGTATTGTCGCGCCCCCATTTTCTCGCGAAAGCGGGTTTCGACATGTGACAACTCTTTAAATGGGATTAAAAGAGAAGAGTCGTCACCTAACGATTTTAAGGTGCGTTAGGGCACCTATTTACAGATAACACTATTTTAACTAGTCCGTGTCACCAAAGATCGGGTAAGGGTTCAAATTACCTCAAAGAGAAGGTGTTAAGCACTATTCGAGGTCCACAAATGTGGTTCCGGGCCGAACTTTAAACTATGTGGGATTATTGGGTTAAACTAGGATGTAAGTTGCTGATTTGTGAATTAATCCTAAGTGGTCAAGTATATACATCAATTAAAAGCAATTAGATAAAACTAGTAACGAAAAAATGTAAGAATTGTAAATTGTAAAAAGCCTACTTAATTACATAAAAGGGGGACCTAAATTTTTAAGCCTGATGGATCAACTCCCATGCAAAGTCTGCTAAGACTTTTATAGCCAATAGTGCAACGGCTATTCGGGCAATTTGTATATCATGTCCGCTACCCTCGTTACTATCTTTAAGTTTTTAACCTAAGAGCGCACTAATTAATTCTAAATCGTGTCTTAATTCATATCTACCCGTCCCTTCACTATAGTCCAGGAGGCTTTGGACACTATTCTAAAGGGATGGTTCTAGACTTAAAGAAAATCTCAAGTTTCTATTTCTATTCTTATTAGCGTCACATAAAAGGGAGCACATTAGAACTTAAACAAATAACACATAAGGCAAGTAAGGGCTCATGTTGGCCTCCGAATTAGTTAAGCAATTAGTTTATAAGGTGGTGAAAATAAATAAATCTTAAGATAATTGCAAAATAGTTGAAGAATATGTATGGTAAAAAGACGTATTTAAAATAGTAAGCATAGAAGAATATTTATAAAGGTAACTTAAATCTTTTAATGACCAATATGTATAACTAAGAACACATTACCATCAAAAGTTTGTAAAGCCAAGGGGGATAAACGTGCTGATGCAAAAAAAAAAAAAAAAAATTAAGTAAATGATAAGATTGAATGGCCAAAAATACTTGCAAAATTCATCTCGATTTTTTCGTTGGTGTAAAAATTTCAGATTTAAAATATAGCAAAATAGTGCTAAAGTGCTTATAGGAAAGAAATGATTTCAGAGCTAGAAATATGTTCCAATTCTTGTGAATAATTTAAAATAGACTCAAGTACTTGCAAAATAGTTTCAGCACTAGAATAGAGCTCAAATGGACTAAAATAATGGGATTATGACACAGTTACCCACAAAAATAAAACTATTTATCCTTGTCTACCCATTTGTTTTTCTACCCATAAACTAATTACATTTCCTACCCATAGTAGTTTTTGTAGGGTATTTTTTCTTTATTCTCCAATTCTTTTTTATTTCNATGCTTCTTTTCTTCTTCTTTTTCTTTTTTTTTCTTTTCTGCTTTTCTTTTTTCTCATTTTCTTCTTATTTTTTCCTTTTTTCCTTTTCTAATTTCATTTAACTTTTTTTTTATATTCTTTTTCCCTTCATAATCTAATTTCATTTACTGTTTTCACTATTTTTTATTATTCTTTTTTTATACAAAGAAAAATAATTGATATAGTAAATATTTGTTCACCTTTTTTTAATATAACTAGTAAAATATACCTTTTATTTTATTTTTCTTTCTCATTTTTTAAATTCAATTATTAAACTGAAATAATATCAGTTGTCACTTGATCTAATACACTGAATATCACATTGACCGTTGTTGAGCACCATAAATTACATAATCAAATTCTAAGAATCAACACGTGATTGCCATGCAAACCTTGATCTCCTTCCCTATAAATATCAATACACACTCTACCATTAGCAGTAATACAACCAGTTATAGAGCAAGAAAACATAATCTACGGCAACCAAATCTCCATATATACTAGTTAGAATAAAAATGATAATAAAATATTAAAAAATAGAACAAAAGTATAAGTAGCGAAAAAGACTTCTAGTACCATGTGATACCAATATGGTATATATGTATACCAACAGAGCATATGATTTCTCTAGAATATTGCTGCAACTATCTGCGACTCAAAACATTAAAGGACGCAATAAAAGTATGAGAAAATTACATGTTCGTATTGCAAGCTAAATATTCGCAAAACAACTTGCTCATTTCGTATACTAAGAGGGTATATAGTTGTATGGGGCCGTTCCAACAATTGCCTATAATTATAAAAACTATTAATACACATAATTTATGTCCATCGGCACACAAAAATTCTAGCATTATTGCAACTCATGTTGATATAAATAATTTCATAATAGTAATTAACTTAAAAATGACAGACTAAAAACAACCAAAACAATAGTTCAAACTACCATATGATACCAATATGGCACATAACTATACCAACATGGTATACAGTTTTACTAGTTAATTTCCGGCAACTATATGACTATACTACTATTACATAACACACGTGCATAAAGAGAAAAATAAAAAATAGTGTACCACATATTAATATAATAAGGTATTTCAAGATATTGTACTATATTACTATTATTAAAAGAAAATCAAATATTGTACCAATTAAATGCAGCTAATACAACCAAAAAATAATTCAACTAGCATATGATACCAATATAGTATATAGCTATACTAATAGGGTATATAGTTGGAATGAATTGTATACTAAAATGGTATATTTGTATACTATTTGGGTATACAATACAAATTCGTCTTCTTCTCTGGTTCAACTATATTTCAACCCAAATTTCTAAAATTTACTATAAAATCTCCACCAAATTGACTAAAACTTTAGCTACAACCTCCAATCAACTTTCCAAACTAACCCACACAGGATCGGATGAAAACAATTAAAAACTCAAACAAACCAAGTTATGAGTTTCAAACTTCAAGGTCCGTTAATGGTGGATTTAAATTTTTGTACAATAAATCTCCAAAAACCAGCATCAAAGGTACAATCTACACATCAAAGAATAATATCAGCTACATTTAATTGGAGACCAATGGAGTAGTGCTGGATCGATTTGATTCTTGCAGTGCTGGATCGATTTGATTCAGCACACCTGCTTATAATAACACAGTGGTGATCGAATAAAGACTGTTCCTACAGATCAGTTCTTGCACCTGAGTAGAACTGCAATTCTCCAAAGGAGAGAGTGCCCTCAAGACAGCAGAAACCTTTGCAGATTCGTTTATGATGAACAACACATATCTGTACTTGAGAGCTTATAATTCTTGAACGTAGCATTTGAATGGCTGGTACCTGATTCTTATGAAGCATCATGCTATGGCACTTCGAAACTACATCTATGTGAAATGTCCAGTGACAAACTTTCGAAGAACTTCACAATATTGGGAACCATGCATGGACTCAGCTTCTGTCATCACGCAAATCGTCTTGTCACATGTATAAATACCAGTTGCTAGATACACAACAGTAATTCGATGCATAGGTATTCCAATGTGGGCGGGTAAATAGTATGATTGCATAGGTAGGGAAAGTAAATAGTTTAGGTATGGATATTTAAGGGTAAATAGTTTGATGGGTATAAAGTGAGATTTTCCCTAAAATAATACTTGTAAATTTAGGCAGTGAACTTCAGAAAATTAAAAGGATGCTTTAAAAGGTTAAACGGTCTACGTTGCTACTTAGGATTAAAACTTGACCAGTTCTCTTATCATATAGATAGCACATAGGAAATCTGATGATTTTTTTTTCTTTTATTAAGTAATCGCTATAGGCATGATATCTAATGGTTTAGTAAAATATAAATTATTTAAGCATGCTCTTAAAACATAAAGACAAAGAAAGAGGCACACAAATAGCAATTAGCGCAGCCTTGCTATAATGTCTTTACAAAGTCACTACAAAGATAGAGCTACAATTAAACTAACTATAAAGGCTTCAGGCATGACAAGGCTGCAAACAGGCATTCTTGAGCCTCCTTTCAATCCCAGGTGACTCCGATATTGGCCTAATACTCCGAAAAAAAACTCCTGTAGTCTCAAACACAACCAGAATGCATACAGAACACATGCGTCCCATTTGGAGAACAAATTTACATGAAAATCTATCACTTCCTACTACCATATTCCGTTATTTGGTAATTAATCATGCAAGAACACGACAACTGAATAGCTCTCATAAAAAAAAAAATAGATTATCAACCTTCATTATTAGTTCCTAAAGGCAGGATCTTTAGTGGTTCATAAATCACGACACACAAGTATTGTTAAGCACATACAGAGATTCAAATGACGTACCTGGTAATTAACGTGGCATGCATTTCAATCAAACACTACTTTGACTTCCAGCCAACAAATCGCAAAAAAAAAACAAGAAAGCTAGAGCGATGGAAAAGACCAGCAATTGAGAAACACGAGTGAATAAAGTATAAAGCAGATATGGAAAAAATAGTAGTAATTGATTTTGTTTTGCAAGTCGGAAAAATATTAGCAAAGGAAAGGGACGAGAGTTTTGATTCTGGAAAAAATGGTGTTAAAGGGTTGTCTAGTTTTTTGATTCCGGAAAATCAATTTAACAGACCCTAAAGCGGAACAAAGGTTTTGCCATTTGCAGTTCAAGATTGAACGACCAAGTGAGAGAGGCTAAAATACCTCATAACTTGTCCAGATTCATTCAAAACAATTTATTCAAATCTTCATGGTATTCTTTCCAAATGAACAATCACTCTGAGATATACGTAGCAATCTTGACCAAAATAAAACGATAGTCTGAGCCCGAAATTGAGGAAAGTTACGGTTTCATAGGGAGCTTAACAGAGGAGATGAATTAAGGAAATAAAATAAAAATGGAAAAAGATGGTAAATGAGAAGGATTAAGAATAGAATAAATAAAATATCAAAGAGAGGAGCAAGGGATGTCGACGACAAAACTGGGTTGTTCACGTAAAGAGATTTGAGAATTTGGTTTGAGATTAATTTATTGGGCCAAGGTAATTTGAGAGGGGTCTTCGGTGAAGGCTAATAGGTCAAGAATGTTGGCCTTTGGGCACAACAAGCTTGGTTGGATTTTTGGGGGGGCGGTCATAATATAAAAAAAATGTTATAAGTATCACCATAACCTTTTAAAGTAAAATAGCAGCTCTGTGGGTTAAATTCGGGTATGGAAGGACAAAACTGAGTGTCAACATGTATTAACCACTTACCCCCTTCGAAATGTTTTGCATAAGCTCGAACTATCGGGCCGATTGGCCAAATGGGCCGTCGAGCTTAGCGGGTACGATATCGAATATCAACCCCGAACGGCCATCAAGTCTCAAATCCTAGCTAACTTTGTGGCCGATTTCACGCCGACCCTCGTACCCGAAGTAGAGAAAGAACTCATGTTGAGCTCTGGTACAACATCGGGGGTATGGACCCTCTTCACAGATGGTGCCTCGAACGTGAAAGGATCCGGGCTTGGCATTGTCTTGAAGCCACACACCGGCAATATCATTAGGCAGTCTATTAAAGCTCCAAGATTAACTAACAATGAGGCCGAGTATGAGGCTATGATTGCAGGTCTTGAGCTAGCTAAAAGCTTGGGAGCAGAAATCATCGAGGCCAAATGCGATTCTCTATTGGTTGTAAACCAAGTGAACAAAAGTTTTGAGGTCCGAGAGGATAGAATGCAACGGTACTTGGATAAGCTACAGGTAACTCTGCACCGCTTCAAGGAGTGGACTTTGGATCATGTGCCTTGAGAACAAAACAGCGAGGTCGATGCGCTTGCCAATCTGCGAGCTTCAGTCGAAGAAGATGACATCGTCCCGGGGGTCGTTGTCCAATTATCAAGGTCTGTGATAGAAGAGGGTCATGCCGAGATAAATTCAACAAGTCTGACATGGGACTGGGGGAATAAGTATATTGACTATCTGAAAAACGGAAAACTCCCATCGGACCACAAAGAATCGAGGGCCTTACGAGCCAAAGCAACTAGATTTGCATTAGATGAGGATGGAACATTGTATAGGAGAACGTTCGACGGGCTATTGGCGGTATGTTTGGGGCCAAGGGACACCGATTATGTCCTTCCAGAAATCCACGAAGGCACTTGTGGGAATCATTCCGGCACCGAGTCCTTAATTCGCAAAGTTATTAGAGCAGGTTACTACTGGGATAGCATCGAAAAAGATACTAAGGAATTTGTCAGAAAATATGATAAGTGTCAACGATTCGCACCAACGATCCAACAGCCTGGAGAACAACTCCATTGGGTCATATCCCCATGGCCTTTCATGAAATGGGGGATGGATATACTCGGCCCTCTACCGACGGCCCCAAGTAAAGCCAAATTTATTCTGTTTATGACCGATTATTTTTATAAGTGGGTGGAAGCACGGGCCTTCGAGAAGATCAGAGAAAAAGAAGTTATCGACTTCATTTGGGACCACATCATATGCCGGTTCGGGATACCTGCCGAGATTAGGTGTGACAATGGAAAACAATTCATCGGCAGCAAGTGTTGATACCCAATTTTTTCCTGTATATTTTTTATATATACAAAATACTTTCAAAATAACATATATATGCATATATAAACATGCCCAAGTGTTTTAGTATTTTTTCCATTTTTTAAAAGATTTTTAAACCAATTTATTGTCCATTTTAGCAGTATAAAAAACCAATAATTATTCCCAAATTATCATCTTGGTGAATAACTTATTTTTACCAAATATAGCTATAGTAATTTTTATACATTTTTACAAATTTATTTGGTATTTTTAAAAGGTCAAATTGCTTATAATTGCAGTTTTAGCCTACTTTGAGGATTAATAGCATTTTATAATTATGAAATTGGTTCCAATATTTTTAAATTAATATTTATATATTATTAATTGATCCAGTACTTTTAATTTGTTTTTAAAATTATTTTTATTATTTTCATAAAATAAAAAGGGAAAAACTGGCTATTTAATATATAGCCCCAATTTGTTTCAATTATAGCCAAAATTGACCCTCCAATTGACCCAATCTTAACCCCCAATTGGACCGGTCCAATTTCAATTTTAACCCGACCCCCGACCCAATCAATCAACCCGCCCGGTCAATCTTTTAATCCAGGCCGTTGATCATTTTGATCAACGGCCACGATTAGCCCTTGCCTTTTTAATTCACCTAACCCTACCCTAATCCCCTCATTTCCATCTCTCAGCCGCCTTCAAACACTCTCCTCTCCCAAAACTCTCTCGAAGGTTCCTCGGAACCCTAGTCATCTTCTGCCCTTTTCAACCGCACTTTCACCGGAATCCATGGCTTCTCAGGCCATGGATGGCCTGTACTCACCCCCCTCCACCTTTAAACCCTGGGTGTTCGAAGTTTCGAGGTCTGACCTCGATGGTGTTCTTTCAAATCTTCTCAGATCCATGGCTTTGAGGCCTCTCCGGCCTCGCTCCGGCGTATCCAAGCATCAGGAGCCTATTTCTGACCTCTCCGACTCAAGATCGGACTTTCTTCCAAGCCTTTCTCATTTCTAGGGTTTCTCTGAAACCCTAAGCTATTCGAGGTTTTCTCTGTTTGTTTCCTTAGATCTATGCTATATCTGTGTTCTACTGGAGTTTTAAAACGTTTTCCCCAATCTTTTCTTTCAAAATTTGTTTCTCTTCGATTTAGGGTTTCTAAAAAAGTTTTAAAATGTTTTCTGACTCCTCTTCTTCTTTTCTTTGTGTGAATCTGTCTATGCTATGTTTTTATGTTCTCTTTTCTACCTCGCATGTTCTTCTCCTATGTTCTTATGTTTGCTTTATTATGCATGTTTTTCTATTATGCTCCGTTCTTCCTTCTACTGGTTTCTATATCATGCTTTCACATGTCTATCTTACGTGTTCTTTTGCCAGGCTTTTCGATACCCCTGTGTTCCTTTACTGTATTTTTCCACTAAGCTATTAGTCCTTTGTTTGTCTTTACTGGACCTTTGTTTGAGTTCTAAACATGTTTCATCTACTGTTTCCTTAAGTTTATATTGCCTCTTTATCTTCTGAACTTGTTTAAGTTCCAAGCTTCTTAAAACATGTTCTTTATGTTTCAAATCAGCTTTTCACTATGTTTGTTTCGAACCTGCTATTTTACCTGTTTGTTCTCTCATGAGTCTCTGAAAGAGACCTCTGAGCCTGTTTCAGTTATTTGTCTTCTCGTCTCTGCATCTGATTCGAGTTGAAAACCCTAGGATTTGGGGTTTTTGGCGAGTTTGATCTTGTGTGTGGACTAGGGTTCTATTATGGAACCCTGAATTCTCTCAAACTAAGTCTGAGTCTATGTACTGAATTTGAGCCTCTTTGCTTGTGACTCTGAACTTTTCTATACTAGATTCTTTCTAATTAGCATGACAGTTCTTTCTTGTTTGACATGTCTGTATGCTTTATATATGAGGAATTCTTCCTTCAAAAAAGGTTTTGCCAATTTGTGATTGATTCAAAATTCCTTTTAATAAGGTTCGATTGATTGTTACTGATTTTCTTTAATTAAACCTTTCTTCACCTTTTCTGGTTGGATTCATTCATACCAAAACTCAATTTCTGATTTTTACTGGCTGTTGATTGATTGCCTTTCCTTATTTGCACAAACCGTGTTGCTATCAAACTCTTTCCTTAAATAGCTTCTGTGTATTTGCCCTTCTTGTACTACTTTGGAGAAGATTTTTGAGCAAATTCTTTCCTTATTTATTCTGCCCGTTTGAAATCAGAATCCCTTAATTAAAGGGAGACCTTATGTAATTGATTTCAAAACTATTTTCTTACCTTTTTCTTACTTGCTTTCTGCACTATAAAGGGCATGACCTTTCAGCACTTTAACAACCTGGAGTTCAATACTCTAACATACATTACTTACTTTCAATTTCAATACTCTTACACTTCACCCAACACTCCACTCTCTTCTGAGATATTCTGACTATTTGCTTGCAATTTGGCTTTACAAGACTACTGCTTTTACTTTCTTGTTTCCCTGAAACTGGTATGTTCTAATTTAAGTTTTAGCCTCATCCCAATGTGTTTACATTACAGTTTCTACATCCCTGTCTGTTTTACTACTTATGTTTAATGTTAATTAGCAAGTCAATTCCCTTGCATATGTTTCTACTGTGAATCCCTACACCCCTGGCTGCATTACTGCATATGTTTAATGTTAATCAGCAATGTCAATTTCTTGGAACATGTTTCTATCGTGAATTCCTGTACCCCTATTCCCTCTATGCGTTTGAGTTAAGGTTCAGGCATGGCAGCATCCAAATTGTTGTCCATGTTTGTGCTTGATCCTTCAAAGGATCCTAACTCCCAAACAATGTGGCTAACAGGCTGGTTGGGTGTGCCAGCACTTCCAATTGTTGGATATCACCACCAGCCTGTCTTGGTTTTCCCCAGAATCCCCTCTATTGCACTTACACTCATTCCTCTAAGTTCTGCCCCCCTCCTATGAGCCTTGCTTTGGGACCTTGAGTTCCCTCTGAACTTGGACATTTGAGGGCTGGCACTTCTACACTGCACTATAATTTAATTCGGCAATATATTTGGGTGTAAGCACTGCCCGGAGTTCATGAAGCTCCTGGGAACTCTGACACACCCAAAAAAATGAGAAAGGCTTTGGAAATTGGATCTTTGGAGTTGGTTTATTTCATGTTTCAGACCTGGAGTCTGAATCAGACTCTCCTTAGTTGTACTCTAATTTCTAATATAATTTTATTTTCTTTATTCAGTCTGGGCTGTAATAATTTGTAATAACTTATGAGGTTTATAGTGAAAAGGGGAGGGACACTCATGTATGCATAAAGATAGACATCATGCTCTTAGGTATTTACTTCTGCGATCGTATCCCGTTTTCATTTATGCGTCCTCGAAATCCTGTCTATAGGTTTTTCAGCATTTTAGAAATCATGTCTATAAGACTCCTGCATTTCTATAAACGTTTTAATATCAATAACACTTAGAAAGCATGCCTATAGGAGTAACCAA